CTATACCATGTATATGACAGTGGTTCGTGATGACAGTATGGCCACGAAATACTAGGCAATCTACACATGCGCCGATGATACGGATGACCCAAAACCCACTTAATTAAAGTAAATAAACGAGGCTCTGCGTGGTAGCCATCATGGAGGCAGCTCTTCTGTTCCTCAGGGAAACCAACTCTGTGCATACCCTGTGGAAAGAAATCACTGGTCTGCAAGGTGGCAGCCATTTTATTAGAATAGCAATGGTGCAGTGGTACACTTTGCAGAACGATGTTTTGAATTAAATTTTTCTCATGTAAATTTCAAATGAACTTTAAGTAATGGTTGTCACCCTCGTTTTATTTTTCATTTTAATTATAGATTGAATCCACCCTTACGAAGCCCGGGTCGGACTCTTTTAATAACTCTGTGGTGATTTTGAATATGCTGAGACTCGCTCAGGGCCCGATTTTCCGAGATAGGTCAGCCAAATATGTGGGCTTAATCAATGCCGTTCTTCATGCATTCGGGATAAAAACGATGAGCCTCTTGCGAGTTAAATTTGAATAAAATCTGGCACACTAAGTTCTTCAAATCCACGTGTACCTAAACGACATTGTTGCTTTACCTCGTGATTCGGGGCGAATTTGTCTTAGTTACATAAGAGATACTTTGCACTAATATAGTTTTCATTGGATAGGAGGCGATCCACGGATTCTGTCCATTCCAGAAATTTAATGGTGGTCGCTGTGCAAAAGCTTGCCCCAAATCTCAATATATATACCAAAAGTCTTTAGTCAGGGGAATTCAATTTTTTTTATGTGCAATTAGACACCTCGATGTACGAGATTTTACTCGGCGTACCAGATTATTTATTCAACCTGAACTTGCAAAAGGCTTATTGATGAGTTGAAATCACGTTTTATGAAATTAGCATGTGCCAGCCGAATTCGTGGGGGTTGGCAGAATCCACCCTGGTACCAAACCCTAAGGCTCTATTAGTCGTATTTTTTGTACACCTTTGTAGTTGATTTTGTGGTGATACTGGGGTTAGCGCATGGGGTTCCCTCCGCCACTCCCATTTTTTGCTCCCTTTGCAGGTGTCACCCTTAAAGTTTTGATGTCTGAAAGGTGACTTTCGGCCAATCATTTCAACTTTGAAACGAGATTGTTTTCAGAGTATTGTTATTATCTGCCTTATCCCCTTTCCCCCTGTCTCTAGCTTCATTGGTTCCTGGATCGAGGTGAGCCTGACTGAGAGCACAGTGGTGTGTGGGGTCATCACACAAGGAAGCCCCTCAGGGTGGGGGTATGTGACAAGGTATAAGGTGTCGTACCAGAGACTACCCTAACCTGACCTTGTACACGTGACTGATGAAAAGGGGAAAATAAAGGTAAACATTTAACAATTTGCTCCTGTCCAGGCTTTATTCCTTTTAATAAATTTGTTTTCTTGGGTATATATTTGTTTCAGCTGTTTCTTGCAATATCCTTTCTTGTTTCCCAAGCAGCTTTTTGTTTCAGTCACGAGACAAAACTGTTACACTTTCTTTTCCATGGTGTGGAAACGAGAGTGAAAAGTAGCAATAGTGCTGTATTATTTCCCTATCAAGTTCCTTCACACGGTCACACAGTATCTAACAATATCAAGTGATCCAATTCTTAAAAGACATCAAAAACAAAATCTTTAAATTACGCATTGACTCCTGTGTTAATAGTCTCCCCCCTTTTTCTGAGGAGAGCTTTGCGCAGTCTACATTAACATTTGTGCACAGTTTGATCAAAGTTCAGTTGCGGCTCGAGGTAGATGTCTCACTGTCCTAAAGTAACATGAAATCCACTTTATCCGATTTCTTTTCAGGTTTTCACCGGTAACACAGACGGCAACGTCGCGGTAACCAACCTGTTTGATGAGAGTGTGGTGGCCACGACAGTGCGCATTGAGCCAACTGAGTGGCATCAGGGTATTCGTCTGCGATTTGAGTTGCTTGGATGTCGCTGTGATTAATGTGGCACGTTTACCAACTAGGCACTTTGAGCATTCAGGACGTTTTGTTATGGGGACAATTAGTACACCGGCAGATTAAAGATACAGAGAATGAAAGTTAAAGGACTGTAAGGCGAACGTCTGTCTAATTTATTCGTAAAGAGGCTAGTTATGGTTAACGTGGAGGCTTCTGTTCGAGGCAAATCGGTCCTTGGAAGTCCCCTAAACTGCGAAGATCCGAAAGAGAGGAACCACTGTTATTTCTAGTTTGTGATCTCACATGGCTAATTACAAACAAAAACAACGCCTATCATGCATGACATTTTTACAGTTGCGATCAAAAATCCCTCTGTACAGAGCTGAGGCGTAAGTTTTTTGGGTGACAGGAGTATTATCTGCCACGAGAATCTGGAATTCCTTGCCCAGGAGGCACGATTTGGCTCTTTCTAGATTTGGTCTAGTGCGTAATGAATGACGGTAGACAGGTCTAGGAAAGCTCACAGCTGGTTGAATCAAAGGTAGTAAAGACTGTGTTAATTTAAAATTCACATTGAGTTTCCAAAAAATTAAAATATAAAAAAATACATATTTAGGAAAGTCATTAGAATTTTCTTCAATCTGTGAAATTTTAAATCCTTTAAATGCACCCTTCTGTTCTGTTCCAAAGTCTTTGCACTACCATATTCCAATAGGGCCTGAAACGCGCGTGGTATAGCTCTGCAAAGGCTACAAATAAAATCATGTTCGACAGCAATAAAATTAAAGCAGTGGTGAATAGCTGACAAGTTCAATTCCCTTAGATTTTTGTGTAGGTATTTTCTGATCACAGTACAGAAAAGAAAGGAGCATGGAAGAAGCTGGCCAATAAACTGAATCAATTGTATCCTTTCTAATGCCAGTTCATTTCTTACATTTATTGTGGATTTGAACAAATACTACCAGATTGTCATGCTGAGTTGTGAATGCCGTTTCTTACAAGTTCAGTCTCTTTGCTCAATGTAATAGTTAACAGTTGTGCCTAGGTATATCCCCCGAATGGCACTAAACCCTTAGACAAATGACGTAATTTGAGGTACACATATTGAATAAAATTGCAGTTTAGTCACACCACCTCAAACAGAAGTCATTGGGTATTAATCATTATATGCTTTTGCTTTCGAGTGAGTGGTGTGAAGAGCACGGCTAGGACGTGTTACTTCGGTCCCCCCAAAGATCCTGATAACCAAGATCACTGGATGAAGCAAGTCATACATCAGCAGATCAGAGAAATACTGAAGCGATGATCGGGAAGATGGAGAGGGCGTGACCATGATAGGCCAGTTCTGTGCTTGTGACGTAGCAGATTTGTCAATAAGTCACCTTTGGGCTGTATTCTTTACACGGTTCGCACTATCTATTAGGCGGTTTTTGCATGGTGCCAGTGAATCAACGACCGATTACTGATCGTGCGAAAGTCCGATAGTGCCATATACAGGGTGTCCACATAAAAAGTATACCGAGATAAAAATTACTGTAATAGCAAAACTACTGTATATATGGGAAAGAAAAATATGTCTCTAGAAAAGGCACTGAAAAGTATTGAAATCGGCACTGTGACAAGTTTGCATATGTGATTAAAACAAGGCTAGGCCATCCAAGTGTGCAGAATACCAAATGCCTTTGTTTTAAGAACTGTGAGAAGTTGCATATCGATAACAAAAGTCAGCATGTGGGGTGAAGGCGATTTCTTTTTATGGCGTTACCTGCAGAACCAAATTTTCACTACACCCTCAGCTAATGTTCAGGAGTTAACGTGCAAGAATATTGGAAAAAAGTCAATAATCTCCGTCAAGACCTTGAAATTATCTAACGAGCATTAAGGGACATGTTACAAAGATGTCAGATGTGCATTGACAGGAATGGTGGCCATGTGGAGGACTTAGCACATTAAACTGATGAGGTAAGTAGCGAAACCAAAGCAGATAAGATCGATTTGGGTACATTCCTTTGTTTTCAAGAATGCGTTCTTAAAACAAAGGCATTTGATATTCTGCACACTTCTCTAGATAGTAGTAGGTGTAAGAAACAGAACACTAAAAATATCACAAGAGATAACCGTGGTTTTAATGTTGATTCAATCATTTGCCCCACACCGTTTGTTGCCTTGAAGGGTGCTTTCTTCTTCTTTCTTTCCGCGTTATCGACGGGGAGCTTTGATTAGCTTTGCACAATAGTATTACATAATACGATGTTATTTTACTTACACGTTATGAATGTTGACATTGAGCTGTAAAATCCTCGCTTGTGAAGGTGCTGGCGATCGTGTACGCAACCAAGCCTTATGCATCCCTACTCGTTTACTCGTTACCCTCCAGTAGCTTTACCAGTGGCGTGGTTACGATTTTAATAGTGGGGGCCCAGAGGGGCACCAGCATCTTATGGGGTGGCACCAATTTTCAGTGATGTGGCTTGTTAGCCTTTTGCAATATCCATTCATCTGTCTTTTTTTGAGTGGGGGGGGGCACCTGGGGACACCGGAAATTTGTGTGGGGGGGCACGTTCCCCCAGCCCCCCTGCAGCTACGCCACTGAGTTGTACTACTCATGCTAGCTTAAACCTTCGACCGTTTCCTATATTTGGACTTGTACACGGCTTTGCATTGATATTGCCGTCCCCAACTTCATTGTGTAACAAGGCAAATATGTACACCCATCACATCGATGTGCATGAATCATACAGCGTTTGATGGAAGGTTTCAAGCGGTTTTACACTGCAGTGATGGGAGCAATATAGAACAGGAATACAACACCTAACAAAAGGTGTGTTGGCAATTTAGCAGCATCGATTTTTCGAACTCCCCTCTTAATAGCTGCAGTTTTCACTGGTGGTTGTGCTCACAAGGTCGTAGTTGTGGGCTTGCTGTGCATGCGCGATGCCATATGCTTGTTTTTAAAGCTTGACTTTTTCCATATTATCTGTGCAATTACAAACAACTATGCACGCTGCACAAAGTCAATTGTACATGGTATGGCCCCTACAGAATCTTAAATGGTCATGACATTACATGCCATGTAAACGTCAGAACAAACCAAACCAAACCAACCGATCTAGCAATCTATATTTCACTATGCGTCTCTTTTTAAACAAATCTTTGTACGGTAATTTACACTTTCAATAATAAAAAAAGGACATTTCCCATTTTTATTTCAATTCATAAATGTTTTATCTGCAGGTACTAATTTACTTTATAAAGTAATTTAGCCTGTCATTTTTTTCTAAAGGAACAAGTATGTCCTTGGCAGGTGTTAAACATGTGTTTCAGACCAGCTCAAAAGAATGAACGCTGATAATGCCCTGGAATGGGTGATTCGCAAGAAACTGATAAATGGCTGAAATATTCAAACTAAATGATTGAGACTTACCGCTTAGTACCCCTCATTTGAAAATCCAACGTTACCTTTATCCAAACGAAATCATTCAATTTTTATGAGTGCCTCAATGCATATCCATGTAACACAAATGTTAAGATCAGTGATCATCATTTCGGCAGTCAATAAAATGTTGTTCCAAATCAACCTTCAACATTACTAATAGATTGCCTGAAATAATTAGTTTCACATAGACTGTAAGTATTCGTAGCTGTAACGTGCAAATGGAACAACTGTTCAGTACAAAACGCGTTAAAAACCTGATTACAAACCTACTAGACAAAGCTTCTAATTAGCTGTGAAGTAGTATGTACCTAACAACAGAATGGAACGATTTTGGTCTGTCATTTGCTTTTTGTCGAGCAGAAATTTTGTTTTCCTAGCAGATTTAAGTGCCATTGCTAAGTGCAACAAAGTGTGCAAAGAACTATATGAAATATTTACAAGCAAACTGTAAAATAATTCTGTGCATCAACTTCTTCCTTGGATTTTTTTGTTCTTGCCAAGATTTAATACAGCAAGGCTGTTATTAGATTGCGTCATTTAAGATGAGATGTTTGTTTGAAAGTGATAACGAATTTATTTGTAAGACATTAATTACCATTACCGTATTTAATGCCAGCATATGGAAACGCTCAAATCATATTCAGATACCCACAGCGATATCTTTGATGGATATCAATGCCATCTCATTGCTATTTCCTGGCGTTATGTCAACAATTAAATAAAACATGCATTAAAAATTCTGTAAGCATTAAGATGATAGAGCTGAATTAATCAAATGGACATCCAAGCAGTTCCAACCGCAGAGAAACGACAGTAAGCCATTCAGTCGGCTCAATGCGTACTGCCGTCACCAGCACACTCTCATTAAACAGGTTAGTGACTGGGGTATCGCCCTGAGTGTTACCTGGGAATACCTGAAATGGAAACATAAATACACGGTATGTTTTCAAGTCAAGGGAGAAACCGTCCTCAAACCAGATTTTATTCTTTAATTTGGACATCTTTCCTTTTGAAAACTGGGTCTGAAATTAAAATCTGTTTAGGCGAGAAATATTTTGCCGCCCATTGTTGTTTACTTAAGAAAATAATCCAATTCTCTCATTTCTTAATCTAACGGTTTTTTCTAAATGCAAGTCTCTGAGCAAGATTTCATGCTTAATTTAATTCCAAGCAGTACACATAAACAATATGTATATTTTGTTACTGCCCCTGGACTAGAATACGAAACTATCTTGCGGACAAAACACTAGTTTAGCAAACAGGGATTGACGTAGGGGCTTTAGGTTGGTAAACACAATTCAAGAGTAAATCTGATGGATATAAAATACCAATCTGGGACGGTAATAGTTGATCATAGATGTAACAATGTGTTTGCAAACAGAGTTTTAGTAATAACTGCTTTTTTGCAAAGAATTTCCAAATTGGCTTTAAACTAGCTTGTGTCTCTGCACCTCTAGCATTTAGATTTACCTGAAATCCCCTTTAATGCAACAGTCAAGCAAAACCCTGGCTAAGCGTGTGCAGAAATTTGCAACAAAACGGAACGGATGAAAAATGCCGATGATATATGTTAATTACAATGTTTTCTTTCTATACCGTGACGTTTCCGTTGAGATCTGTCACGTGTACCCGGTCGGACGAGGGCTGCTTCTGATACGCAACCTTGTACTTCGTCACACAGTAGCAAACGCTTGTTTGGTAAGCGTATCCTTCTGTGGTGACACCAGATACAACCCTACTCTCACCGAGGTCCACCTCGATCCAGGGATTGGTGTCGGTACTACAAAGAGCGAAACGGAATAAAGGGGGAAAAATAACAGTGATCTGCAAACACACCCACTTGTAAAAGGGAAGATTGACAGAAAAAAAACACCACTGCTATTGAGATGTCCAAAAACACTTTTGCAACCGCCAGGATAAATTGAAGGATTGAAATGAACTCGATTACCTATACCCCATTTTTTAGCAGTGGAAAAATTCCAAGTCTTTCCTGATTTTTACTATTAATCATATATTGCAATACTCGATTCATAATGGAATCGTTCCATCATCTTAAACTGATACGTCAGGGCAGAATAAAACCTAATGCCGAATTCCACCGTCACCAGTTTCCTCGTCGTCCTTGCAACAGACTCCAACTCCACTTTAGTCCACTCAACAATTACTCTACCTCTCCAGCGACACCGCGTGGGTATTGATCGCCCTCACAATATTACCCCATTCAGTCTACACTTCAGACACTTTTTTACTCTCCTGATGATTTCCTGTTTGCTTAGCCTTTCCGTCACTTCTTCACGCATTATGCTGTCGTTTCCAACACAAGAAGACACTTGTATTCTTCATTCTCTCCCAATGCCTTCCACAGCCATCCACCAGGCAGAGGAATACCAGGGAAATCCACCCTCTTCCCCTTTCTCAATGTCAACACCACACTCTTCTCCACACCGAACTGCATTTCTGTGTCCCCACTGTACACCCTAACTGTGTGCACAGGAGAATGTAATTCCCTCTTGCTCTTGCGAAACAGCTTCACGTCGTCCATGAAGAGGAGGTGACCGTCTGTAGAACCATAGACAATGGTATCAGCGCAAGAACAACAGTGACAGTAAAAGTCCCCTTTAAGAATGCCTCTTCTGATACAAATCTTATACCAAGATTTCCATTCTTAGCCGTCAACAGGTCTTCAAAGTGTTTGCTATAAATTGCTGCAAGCCTTCTAAATCGCTTCACTCCAACTATTTTCAAACAATCCATTATCCACAAACGCGACATCTTACCGTACGTCCTCCTGTAGTCAGTCTACGTCATTAACAAATTGGTTCTCTCTTCCAACAGTCTTTCAACACATATTTGTCTATTAGTTTGTTGATACCTTGGTCCCCTTGACTGTTTGGCACATCACATGGGCTCCCCTGGGTACTAACCACTCTCCTCCAAGTTTAAGTAAAGATCCTCAGCTATGATACTTGTCCAGAGCTTTTAAACAACGGCAAGACAAGTAATAGGTCGTAATATTACTGGCTCTGCTTCCCCTTTTGAGCCCTTGATTGGCAAAACGGTCCTCACCTCAGTCTTCTACCCTGGCCGACTTCCATACAATACACACTCCTAGAAATACTCTGCAAGCCTACCGTGTACACTGCTTTTATTTTCCAGCCAGCATACCTATTCATATGATCAACACCCAGGGCTTTCCAGTGGGACACTTTCCTCGATTGCTTCTTAACCCTTTTCTTTTACAGCAACACCCCCCATCATCACTCTCCGTGTGATCACCATTATTATCCCTTATTTTGATTCAGTAATCATACACACAACATTATCTTCTCTTGGTACAAAGTATAATGAGAATCAAAGAGGGCAAAACGAGAGTGTTTGTTCTTTTTATTTGATGCGTACCTCCTGGCTGCCCACGATGCACCAACGTTGAGGCGTGCTTCTCTGGCATTGAAATAGGTCTGGCTACTGGACGCCGAGATTTGTGAATCTGTAATAGTTCCGTCTTCCATTCCTAGTGGCTGAGGGGTTGAACACTCGACTATGTTGGGTGCTGGCTCCTTGGGTCCTTCCTCTGCAGGCAGGCGGGAAAACAAGAGTATCAATTTCAGTTTCAATTGAGAAACGTTAACCGGCTTGAAACCTTCAATAACCATAATTATTTGCATTTTCAAATGTTCTATAAATCACAATGCCACCAACACAAGATGAGTTGCACGTGTGTGCTTATTATATTTTGCACTTGTGTGCTCACAGTGCAACAATGGAAAAATTCTGGAAAAGTATAGTAAAAACCAGAGGACTGGAGGGGGGGAGGGTTCAGGATATCTTCTCGTAACCTTTATTGCATTCATATCCACGTGGTAATTCATATTTGGGGGCTTTTCTACACTGCCCCCTGACCAGATCCCTCAGTGGCTATGATTTTGCAGTGGAAACGCAGATACCAACTAGCTTTGTCTTGGGTGCGTGCGTTACAAATATGCATGTTGATTAGGCATCATAATAAACAACAGGTGTACCGAAGCAGTTCTGGATGTGTCATATTTGTCTACTATTAGCGTTTCCCTCCGTTTTGCTCTTTATACTGGGGTGATGGCGGTGAAATCTGACCACACAAATATTAAACGACTTCCCAGGTTGTATCGTGTAATCAGGGTGTGATCCCTGGCAACATGGTGTTTCGGGTTTTATGGCTTCCAGCTAGCGCCCGTCGAACAGAGATATTGACAATAGGGAAGAACCACCACCAATGTAGGGCTGGGTAACTCAGTTGGTAGATCACCGGTACGGTATTCGATGTTTATTATGCTAGTTTTTCCTTCTGAAAGTATTCTCGTCGGCCTAATGATTAGTCCCGTGGTTTTCCTTCTTTAAACAAAAATACCCTCCTAACCTCCTCCACTTTCCTTCCAAAAACACCCTCTTAGTTGTGACGAACAGCCTCCCGTTTCTTCCATCAGTTGTTCAAATAAACTTTGACCCTTCTAAAAATATCCTTCTTGCTACGATGAGTTGTTTCAAATAAACCTTAATCCGTCTGAACTGGCTTATTCAGTTTTTTCCTTGCCTAACAAAACAACATCTTGGCCCGTTTCCTACCGAGATCGACAAAGACTGAAAGGTCTTATCCAAATGCAGTCGTCTGTCTCATAATGGCATACTACTACTATTGACGACATCAATCTCTTTTATTCTGTGCAAATAGCTTACAACGTTTGACATATCGCGAGATATGTCTTAATTTTTTATGGCGAGGAAGACCTCCTGTCAAATAAACCAGTTGTGCACATCATGCAGTTGACTCCAAAATGTTAGCTACAATTTAATGGACAATTCACGCTTATACCGTTTACGGTTGATATTTAACCGACTTTTTAAGAATTTGAGGATTTTCATAGTAACTTTGGATCTGATGATGTCATTGGTCCTAAACCTCACACGTGTGGAATGGATAAATATCGTCCCATACACCAATTTTCAGACTAATCAAAGAAACTTTGCCACAAAATCTATTCGAAATTCATTTTCCAGAAGATTCGACCTGATGCTAGAGGGCGCCCAACATTTGGATGACGTCATCAGTAAATGTTTGGTACAATACCCCACGATACTGTAACGCAAGGCAGTATCAACGCCGTTGAAGACAAGTCAATTTCTATTATCATTTTTAAACAGCAACCCCTCTTTCGGTGTCGACTGATAGGACGGGTCGCATGATTTGACTCACACGAGATGATTAAAGACCAAATTTTACTGTGGGTCAGAAAAACTGACGTTGGTCTCATAAACAAAACACAGGGCTTTTTCCCCATTTTGAGGTTTTCAAACAAAGAAACAAACAACAAACAAACGAACGAACGAACAAACGAACGAACGAACGAACGAACGAACGAACGAACGAACGAACAAACAATCGAACGAACGAACGAACGAACAAACAATTAAGCAAATATTACAACTGTCGAGGACACCCAAGCTAATAAACTTTCAAATAAGTCTTGCCTGTTCACGTGCTGCAAGATTTCAAGCTGATAAAAAATGTACTTCAAAAGGCACACTGCTTTGAAGAGTGCACCTTTAATGCCACGTGACTTGTTACATGACTACGTCATCATCACGCAACGTCAATTTTCATCTATCAATCTCATTTTATAAACCTTCCCGTCCTAACACTCTGCAAGGTTTCAACCCGAACAGACATGTACAATACAATACAAAACATTAGTGTTACCGCGGAAAGATAGAAGATTAGAGACTGCAAATATTTTTTCCCTTTTAGCGTTTCATACAATGCGATCTGCTCTTAGCGCCACGTGCTTGGAAATTTGCCAAATCTTGAGTACATGTCCTACACACTGTGCGATGCCTATGCTACAGGCAGATTTTGCGCGTCCACCCACACAGTAGCCAATGCACAATACACGAATGGGATTTTCGAGTTCGCAAAAATCCATAACCAATCGAGTTGCAGAAAGTCATAGCACGATTTCATTCCTTCTTTATAAACTCCTCGAGTGTCCTCTGGGATAAGTTGAAAAACTCGAATATGTATTTTGAGTTGATGTCTGTGGAAAATACATGTGTGAAGTTTGAGGATGACGTCGTCATTAGACCAGAAGTTACAGTAAGAAGACTTTTCTTATTTCGAAAATCGCTAAAAATAGAACCTAAAAGATAACTTCGTCAATTGTTTCAACTGTGAAGTGGAAACAGGTGGATATCAAATATCTTGGTATCGGGTGCATACCTTACAACTATTGTGGCTTGTTGAGTGGGCATTATAATTATACAATAGGTGTACTGAAACAACATATACATTTTTTATGACATACATGATGAAGTAAAAAGTGGGTAACTTTAAAGTTATATTAAGTAATTTCATGCATCTAAGATGGAAAGCTTGCGGTAAGTACCATGCAATATCTCTTTTTGAGTCTTTGTGGTTCTGATAAGAACCGGAGACAGAGCACACTGTCCGAAACGTTGAGCCTCTCCGGTTCTTATCAGAACCATACAGACTCAAAAAGAGATATCGCATGGTGCTTACCGCAAGCTTTCCATCTTAGTCGTCTGTCACCATGAATAACTTCATGCAGTACTGATCCTTGATACATCAAAAACTAATTTTTATCGACACCATTACCCCGTACTGACTACTTTTAAAAAAACGGCTGTAAGAATATCACGATTTTAGGTAGGAGGAAGTAATCGCATTTTTACTGCTGGAAAAGACTACTGCATATTGGATTGCATAAGCTCATTGAATAAAAAAAATTATCAGACGTATCGTTCAATCACAAAAGACTGCTGGCGTTCAGTGCACGACCCTAAACAATTAGCAAAACTGAGTTGAAGAAGGAAACATATGTGCATAATGCTGCCTTTTCTTAACTCGGAAGTTAGAGTACTTACCAGCTGAGCTACATCCCCTCTTTCCCGGGCAATGCTCCCGTATCTCTGTCATGACTTGCTTCATCCAGAGATCCGGGTTATCGGGATCAGGTTTCTGTGGGGGACCGAAGTAACACGTCCTCGCTCTGCCCTCCACACCACTCACGAGTACTAGGAATCAAAGACAATACAATCGAACCTCGTTAGTGAGAGGTCATCGGGACTTAGCAAATTACCTTGCTATAACAGGAACTTGTATCATCAGGGATAAAAACAATGAAAGAAAAAAGGATTGGGATCTAAAGTTTTTTTTGTTATAAGCACAATCTTTTATGAACAATGTTCTTATTAACGAGGTTTCACTGTACTAAACACTAACATCACAGCGATGTCTGTGTTAAAGGGGTATGGCTATACTTAGCCCTTGTTCATCGTCCAGTATCCAATTACAATATATTAAGGACTTAAAAACAAAATCAACCATATCTTTCAAACTGTATGAGGTAATACGTTTACGAAAAAACGTTTAAATCTGCACTATAATAGTAGAAAGATAAATTCACTTGAACTTTGAGTGAAGCTCCAAAGAAAGCACTCCTCTGTATCACACAACAGTGCTATACAATGTTGAGGAGTGTTACTGCTGAGCACCCTATAATGGAACTACGCACGCATCTGACACATTGCAGACGGTAAGTTTTTGTTTGTTGCCACACTTTCACAAGTGAATGAAAGCCTCTTGAGGATGTCACCTACGTAAAAATATATCCTCCTACTTTTTGAAAGATTGACACAGATTCAATTTTCATTAAGTAATATTCATTTTTTATAATCCGATTAGAATTGACTATTGAGTACCGGCCGTTAACATCACTCAAATGCTAACTAGAGCCGAAGAACTAATTGAAACCGTTTCAATTCTCGTTCCGTTTCCGTTTATTCAGCGTTAATTATTGGTAACAAGGCTCATTATTTTTTGCCATGCAGTACTTTATGTCTACGTCTCAAGGATAACAGGTTGAACATTGTCATTTAAGAAGGCTGTTAAAGCCGGTTTCCTGCTAGGAGCAGGTTTACTCTTACTCTCATTCCTATAAAGATTCTCAATTTTTGAAAGACATAATTTACACAAGTATTTTTCAAACATTATGTATCACGATGTATTTTTTTTTTGCGTTGGGGGAGATCCGCAGTCCCGCCCGAGTAAGCTTGTGAGGTTTTGTTCGCAAGCTCTCGGACAAGCACTGAGCATATAGTGCTTATTTATATACGTTGGGTAAGGGCAAAATCGTTGTATATAATTATGTATCACCTTGAAAGCACTTCTTTCAAGAGGCAGTTCTTTTTTCTTTAGTTTTTTACGTTGACTGCTCACGTTTGAAAAAAATTCCAAGATAGTGTTTTTCAAGGGTGTTGACAGTTTAGTGGCAATGTTAATCCAAACTAAGTGAAGTTTGCAAATATTATTACTAGGTCGTTTAATGCTAGCTCATGCCAAAGAAACACTTGCAAAACTGTTTCAAAGGTTTATGATGTTATCAACCAAGAATCTATTGTAGAGGCAGTCTTCTCTTTACTGGACCCCTCATATAGTTTACATATAAAAGGGGATCAGCAAGAACTTCCCGTAACAAACTTCATATTGTCTTACGTCATCAAACCAGAATTCAACATTGCCCGATCATGTTGTGTTTGCCACTAAAAAAACCCCGTCCCGACCGGTTGAAGTGTTTCTGAATTTCATTGTTTTCTTTAATTAATTAATTTTGCCAGTTTTAGTACGTACATTGAAATATAGAAACTGCAGAATTTATGGTAAAGGTTTGACTTGTTGAATTGTTTTTATATTTGTCCTACCTTCTGCCAACTGTGGAATTTTGTAGCCAGGAATCAGTTAATGGGTCTGTGGTATTAAGTTATCAGTAGTAACAAAAACGAATTGTTTACCGTTAAAAATAACACAAATCGCCTTTAAAATCAGGGGTCAGAAGCATGGTAATGCTTAAACAACTTCTGGGATCTTCAATAGGCTGCTGGCCCCATACCTTTAGGACCACTGTGCTGCTTGGGTGTACTGATGTCAGATTACTGATTTTGGGCTTGTGAATCAGCAATATCATTTTCAATGAAAAAAGGACTCTTTCCTCAAACTGGACCGAACCGAACCGAACCAAAAAGGGCTGGAGCACCTTTTTATCACTGATAATCTGATTTTACAGCTCCCTGGGGGGGGGGTCGTATGTTTGGTGTTTTGCAATAATAGTCCATCAAAAATTCTAATAGGGAAATGAATTTTGTTCAGATTAAAAACGCTCTAGGAAAAAGTGGTACATGAAGTACTTTTAGAACCAGCTTTTGTGGCTAGCCAATAAAGTGCCAAAGATATATTATGTAAAATTTTATACAATCCTGGGTGCGTTCGTGCGTACACTATATTACCATGCATACGGTTTACAAAGTGGTTGTCCGGAATGCATGGCGTTCGAGAAACCCTTTCAGTTCAGTCTTCAATGGCGGAACTTAAGACACTATTCAAATGAACTTCAGTTTCAGTTGTATAACAATGACATGGTCTTTAATTTTCCACTTGTCGTATCAAAACAATGGAGAAAACGGGGCCTACCTGTCAATGCTGAAAATATCAGAATCCATGCTGTAGTGCCGTACATCTTCTTAGAGTAAATGAGCAACAGTCCAAGGTAGATAGTATTTTGAGGGTACAACCGTGAAGCATATATTTCTTTCGGGAAGATGTATAGTTCTTGAGGGAACCGATGCTATGTTTTGAAATCCAAGTTAATAAAACTAATGGTGGGTGGTACAAATCATCAAGGATTCGAACCACACCAACCCATCTTGGTACCTTGCAGCGGTATAGGGCACTAAACCATTTGACGTATAGTCAGCCGATCAGTAAAGAGCTAAAAGCTAGGAGCAAAAGGCAACCCATTCTCTATGCACAAAATTCACTGTGTAGGTGGCACGCAGAAGCGGGAACTGTGTCCCACCTAATTTCAGCTTGTTAACAAGTAATAACTTTGTCATTGAACACTAAACAATACGGAACGATGCTTGCAAAATCTGTCGTGCCAGTTGTAAACAGACACTAATCGATATGGGGCAGCGCACCACTTTTCTTAACCATCACAACCTCAATTTTGCTATTTGCATGTTCATGCCCAGCGTTACAAATACGGACCAGCGTTGATTCTTGGCAACTGCGTTTATTCTAGCAGTGTTCACCGGAAATACTAATTTTTCAAATAAATCTATATTTGGATTCAGGTGTTCCACCATACTCAGAATGACAGGAGTCATTAGACGCGTAATTGTGACAAATTACGTTGTAAATTAAACATTCACCCTGGCCCATGGGCCCTGGCCCACCCTGGCCAATTTTAACAGACACTGAAAAAGGTAAAACAACCTAACACCCCGACAAACAAACAGCTGTCGACAGTGACTAACGAAACTCTAGTTGTGTCAGAGTTCAAGATTCGTGCAGTGTATCAAAAAAAAAAAAAAAGAAGTAGTTTATTCATGAAAGTAAAAGTAGGCCTACAGTAAGGGATTTCTCTTTTTATATCTTGGTCACAGTGTTATGGCGTTTTTTAATTGCAAGCATGGTCCAGTTACATGCCATTCATGTCCTACGTGGCCAGCTTATAGGAGTTATCCACTCTTTAGTCAACAGAATTTCGTAGCTGCCTTAGAAAAGCTAGTGCTGCAAGAACCAAATCTGAAAACGTAACTCAATTTTAGATTACTGCATGTACAACCACATTTTCCCCTAACTTCGTCTATGACTTTATGCAAGACGTTATGTGCAACGAGTCAACTGGGTCCATGAAAGTGCAATCGACGTTTACTGTTTGTGGAAAACGTTAAAGGTGTCACCATTTCAACGGACGGATGTTGGGTGAAATTTACACACTGTATACGTTATGAGCTACACTCAACAGCCACATAAATGAGGATCTCTGGTGAGATGTGAATTATGTTGGCAGTCAGATAATGTATGCTGGTGGGAAAATTCGGTTATGTTTACCGACAGATAAATAGAAGTTGAAATCAGACACTATATCTGACGGAAATTGATTCATGGACAGTGACAAACTGCAAAACAAATCAAACAAAATATGCTGAAAGATTAATGGTTATCGGGGTTTGGATGTAATTGATGGCTGCCTGTTTGAACAAAGACAAGAAATGTTTGGATTCGTTATCAGACGTGATTCCAATTGTATGAGATGATTAAGATACATTGCCCGTTCCAGTTTTTTTTATTTAATCATGTGGCTTCTTAAACTATCATTAATACTGTGCAATAGAAGTATTTTGGTCTATCGATCACTTTACGGTGTACACGCGTTCTTGATTATGTCATGAGTTCAACATTTTCAAACTGTAGATAGCAGTGCTATAGAAACTATATCATCTTCAAGTTTTATTCAGTCTTTGCAATGTTATTTAAAAAAAGATGGGTTTGCGCCAGGGAGATGTAAATTAATTTTTTTTTGCCCTGTCCGACGTGTATTTTAACACTGTATACTCAGTGTATGCCCCCCGAAGGTTTGGGGAAAAAAATCACAAACTTACTTGGGTGGGACTCGAACCCACGACTGATTCGAACCAGCTAGCCGACACCAGCAAGCTCGGTGGTTAAGTGGTTAAGACGTCTGCTTGCAGGAGTGAACACTGCGATTGCACCTGTTGGCGGATAAAGAAAACTTTTCAACAGTTCTGCGGCACTGTGTATGGAGTCTGATTTTCTTTGTTCTACTTGTGTACTTTCTTTTCCAAAACATTTCTTTCGGGGGTCGGGAAAAAAGCCCAGAGAACTCTGGAGAGTCTGTGATTGGCTGCACAATACACTCTTATCAACACCTCAAGAAGAAAAGGGCACGGTGCACTTCCTCTATCTCTCAATTCAAAACAAGGAACTTTATTATTTTTGGCAGTTCGTACTTTCACTTCACTTTTATTGAGTCGTGAGGAAATATTTTGTTCCTTGGCAGCACAACATACCTTGATGAGCTGATGCTCTTTTCATTTCAAATGTGCAATTTGAACTAAATCAGACAAAGAGTTTGTTGCCACGGTCAGCTTAGGTTGAGGGCTACACGCTTGTCACTCCGTACAAACTGCGCACTTCGGCGAAAAAAATGGCTGACCCGTCTCGGAAAAGCGCTGTGCAAGAGCGGCATATTCGATTTCCGCATGATCGGTGTTAACACGACCGCAAAGAGTTACTCTAAAATTCCGAAGGCTCATGTCTTTTAAAACACATCATATTTACTCTCTACATCCTACTACAAGTCAATAGTTATAAAACCAACATACTCATCTTGAATTCATTGCGTTTTTGCAGTAACACTGTGCAAAGCGTTGATATTCCTGGCCATGTTATACCAGTTAGTGGTACGGCTCAAGACCTCGGTTTAATCTTTAACAAAATTTGGAACTTGAAGGATCATGTGACAAACACAGCCCATACGGTCATGTTGACACTGATATAAATGAGGATCAGAGCCAATGAATTTAATCTGTAGTCTACACTTAAAGGAATGGACATGTACTTGTACCAAGGTAAGGGAAAAAGGACACATTATAAATGAGGTACGCTATGTTAGCTATTGTCCGTGGTGAGAGGGGAGGTTCCTCCACTGGTTGAATCTTAATCTTGACTTTGCCAGACATTACAAAACGTCGGAAGCCACGAGCTTTCTTCTGTGTTGATCGGACGATCTTGAATAGTGACCTTCAGCCCACGACAAGTGGCTAGTGACAAACGGATGGGAACTGACTAGCTGACCAGCACCCAGGTTGCCTGCCGAGGGTTGTGGCGCTAGCGGGAGTTTTGCTTCACCCGAGTCCTGGCAGACAGACAGTGGGTCAGCGATGGTAAGTCCCAGCACAGCCCAGACAACACCAGACAGAGTACGACGTGGGACTGCCAGTGAAGGCTGGCTGTCAGGAGAACTTGTATTATCAGTGAGAGAAGAGTGTCCATTGCCCCAGGAGATCGAAGGTCAGAATCCGATCATGGATGACATTTCTCTGCTTTTTAATCCGGCAGAAACTGCAAATACCCATGCCACTAATTTGCATAACCTTGGGAAACTTGACATTACTTACGGTTCGGCAATTGATACGGATTTTTGTCATTTTATCCAAAAAATGCATCATTTATTTTCGATTTGCAGGTAAATGTCTTCTTAACGGTTTTGGATTGCCCTTAGCTGGTATATATCATTTCTATCATTTTTTTAAATGTCAATCCTAACTTATTCCAGTAGTTAGATCCTCCATTGTTCTTCAAAATTTTATTTTCTATAGGGAGATCCGCGAAGCGAGACGCAAGATGACAGGTATAGTTCACTGAAGCTTCCTGAAAAGCTCAGGGCGAGGCAAATACGTTTAGGGAGCGAAAGCAGAATTAAAATGAAACCCCTTATCTACGTTGCACTAGAGTCCTGTGTTCGTTTGTGTAAGCCATGTAACGTTGATTTCCAGTTAGTTCACGGCATACTGCTTAACAGCCGAATCATTCCCCGAGTAACGTGGGCAGCCGTTCTTCTGGGTTCACCGAGGCTAGAAGGTTAACTTACACTGGATTGGTGTTGGAAAGAACTATGCTTCCAAACATATTTGTCGCTGTTTTCGTGGGTGTATTTCTCGTAGGTCTGGTACGTGGTCAGGATGAGGCTTGCCAGGTGTGTACGTGTGCGCCAACAAAGAAAGTGGATTGTAAAGGAAAAGGTTTGGAGTCTGTGCCACTTGGAATACCGAGGAATACAGCACAGTTGTAAGTTGACGTGCGTCTTTTATTTTAGTATGCATATCGGCACAGTTCTTGAAAATATATACACGAATGTTTAACGAAAGAAACGCCTATTGCTTAACATATTCGTTTATATTCGACTTATTACAAAGAAAGGTTTGCCTGACACAGTTTGCACAATTTCACGTACACAATTCCTCAATGAAGATGCAATATCCTAAGTTCTCAGTCGGATTTGAAATTGGATGTAAAACTTTTCAAAGCAAATGTGAAAATACGAATTTTACTGTTTTCACCTGTCTGGGTTATGACATTCAGATGGTGAGGGGCTTAGATATCTATCATTTAGGCTCTTTGATTGCCTGTTCTAATTGAAGATTGTAATGTTGCCAACAGATTCGCGCCCCACGGTATAATTTGATACTTCTAGTCCATCTCCGAATTTGTAATTGCATGGTGAGAAAAATTATAATATAAATCAGGCAACTAAGTCATGCAGGCTCAAATCAAGATTGCTCTTCTGTCTGTGTCTAACTCAAGTTTTCCCATCCGAGATTTTGGAATCAGCCTCGAGGGCAAAATGTAAACTTTTATTGTTTCTATAAACTAGATCTCATTGGAACGGACTGTAGAGAACAAACTTGTACAAACCTTTCCAAAAATATAATAAACAAAGTGCAAAGTTGCATAAATACTCAATATAAAAGGATGTTACGCTTCAGTTATCTCATCCATGTGGATAGAGCATTTGGGGCATTTTTAAAACGACAGTCAACCCCTAAAAGGTTAATAGTGTCTTTACCAAAACAATCGAACACGTCGTCTCAGGTGTCCCTACATAATTTCCTTTGGATTCTCATAATTTAATACAGCTTTATCGGGTATACTGTGTTAACTGAAGACGCAAAACAAGAGCAGAGATGACTGGTATTCACTCCGAGTCCTGGTTTACAGCATGTACTGGACCTTGCCCTTTAAATCACGACCACTTATATCCTGAAACCGAAAATATTCCTAAAGTGGCGTATAAGCAAATCGACGCTCATGATCAATAGAACCTTTAAGGGGTATGACGAATGGTCCCTTGCATTGTTTTCTTTTTCTCATCAACCTGTTATTCTTATCAAATCATTATTTTTTGAAGAGATCTCGGATATAATAGTCTGACGAGAATTGAAAGGAGCACCTTCGTGAACCTCACCAAACTTTTGATACTGTAAGTACAAAATTATGTATGCAAGTTACAGCTACGGAAACCTGTGATAAAAACAATTATTACTTCAAGCAGTCGATGTCATTAAACAGTGGAGAGGATTGTAATACCGGCTACCGCCAGGAGATTCTGGGCTGAACCTTGATTTTAAACAAAATTTTATTGACCAATCAAATTATGATTTGTGATCTGGACACTTTGCTACATTTAAGAAAGGAATAATTTAATTAATTATTCCAAATGAATACTATAGGCTTACCGCTCAGCAGTTCTAATATGGAACACAAAATGATTACAGAAGAGCTGAGCGTTTTGTAATAAAATTCACAAATGAATAGTCCTTTTTTCACAGTTTATTGGAAAACGTAACTAACGCTGCAAATCTGACACGACAATATAAAAATATACGTGTGCATTTAATTTTAAACCATTTAATTCGGAATGAAGATTGAAATCCCAATAGAACAAAATATAATGCAAATTCATGACTGAACACAGAAAGTTTGCATGAAATACAAAATAATAAGAATGCTGAGGGGCGATGATACTCAGTGCAACTGATAAAAAGGGACTTCACTAAATCGTATTGAATTTTCATTGATTTACCATCAACATTAACCACAAAACCCACTCAAAAAAAACCCAAAAAAACAACAACACGAATTCACTTATCAGATTCCGGTTCAAAGATTGTTAAAAACGCCCTCGAACCTCAACTATTTACTTTCAAGACCTCACGCCTGTAATCAATAGAACCTTTAAGGGTTATGACGAATAGTCCCTTGCATTGTTTTCGTTTTCTCATCAAAATCTTATTCTTATCAAATCATTATTTTGGAAGAGATCTCGGATATAATAGTCTGACGAGAATTGAAAGGAGCAGCTTTGTGAACCTCAACAAACTTTGGATACTGTAAGTACCAAAATTGTGTGCAAGTTACAGCTACGGAAACCTATGAGAAAAACAATTACTTCAAGCAGTCAATGTCATTAAAAAGGATTGTAACACCGGCTACCGCAAGGAGATATGGGGCTGAAGCTTGATTTTAAGCAAAATTATATTGACCAGTCAATTTATAATTTGTGATCTAAACACTTTGCTACATTTAAGAAAGGGATAACGCTCAGTAGTTCTCATATGCAACACAAAATGATTACAGGAATGCTGAGCGTTTTGTAATAAGATTCACCAATTAATCGTCCTTTTTTAACGGTTTATTGCTAAAAAGTAGCTGACGCTGCAAATTTAACATAACGACATGAAAAATATATATATGTATTTAATTTTAAACCATTTAATTCGGAATGAAGGTCGAAATCCCAGCAGAACAAATAATAGTGCAAAAGACTGCAACCAGAACAGTTTGCATGAAAAAAAAAGTAAGAATTGGAATGCCGAGAGACAATGATAAAATGCACACAAAAAATCTTTTGAATTTTGGTTGATTTCCCGTCAACATTTTAACCCCTAAACAAAACAAAACAAAAAAAAAACGCCCCCGAACCTCTGAGATTTACTTACAAGACCTCACATGGGCTTTTCATATTAAGCAGGGTAATGAATTATTTGTTTGCATGGATGTTCACAAAATCTGATTTTTTTTTCTTTAGGAAGTTACGTAGCAATAAAATATCGACGATTGAGTCGGGAGGCTTCATTGGGCTTTCAAGCTTTCTGAATTTGTAAGTTGCCTTTTGGTAATTCGTGAGTCTCCTCAATGTGCTCGAATCGGGTAATTTGGCAGAGAGTCAATTCCTTTATCAAACACTGTTGGCACCAAAATGTGAGAGTTCAACATGTGATGAAGATATAGCAGAGGTAGCAGTAAGTCATTTTTTGTCAAAGTAAAGTCACAAGTAATTTGTTAGCAAGTTGAATTAAGCCACAAGTCATTTGGTCCCGTCACAAGTCACGTTATTTGATAACAGTTCAAGTCAAGTCAATCCACAAGCCAATTTAGTTCGAAAACAATCAACTCACAAGTCTTCCCCAAGTACAAGTCACTTTGTAATTTCATGCCACAGTCACGTGATTAAGACGTGGCCTTTGGCAGGCAAGACCAAAGTAGAAGTCGCACACTGAACGAAGTCGCACGCTTATTGTTTTAAAAATGCAAGGCGAAAGTTGATAGGCCTACTTCATGGGTTCGATTGAGTAGTTCCCTGACTTATATTGGTAACAGGTCATAATGTGCAATCCAAGTCAAGTCATTTTCTGAAAGTCCATGCCAAGTAAAAGGTGAATAAGTGAAAGTTACAAGTCAAGAGTCACAAAAATAGCACCTTGAGTCCGACTCAGGTGCAAGACAAATGACTCGGGTTAGCTCTGAAATGTGGGATCTGTGAACAAACAATATTATGTTGTACCACTGCTATTTTTGCAACTTTTCAAAAAGGTGTAAAAACTTGTCACTTTTTATAGAAGGATTGATCGTGGCTATTGACGAGTAACTTTTATCTGTTCATCTAGATTTGGAGAAGCTTACCATTACAGAACTAGATGTACCTGTTGATCGGGTGTTCTTTGTTGTTTGATTTCTCAACAACTGTTCAGGCAGCTAGACAACAATGACCTAGAGAAGTTCGATGCAGACATTTTGTATGACATCGGTGGAGGACTTCTGTAAGTCCCTGCCAGGCTGTTTCTTTATATTTGTCGTGAATTCTTATCTGAACCTGCAAGGAGATCTTTTCCAAATGTTTCATTGTATCAGAAAAATGAAAAGTATAATCATGGGTTTTGACCTTACTCTGGAGCACATTCATAACATTGTCTTTTCACTGGTACGTCGGTACAACTTGACCATACAACCTCCCGTTCATTCGTGCAGACATAATTTTGTAACAACTCGATCACCGAGTTTAGCTGGCTTGCTCGAGTCAGATTTAGCACCGGATATAACAATAGAGTTGTTTCCAAAAGTTTACCTTGCGTCGGAAAGATTTATATTCCCTTTTCTTGAGCTCTCAGACGGGACTGGGAACCGATGGTTATGAATATACATCCGTTTCAGGGTAAAACCCGGTACATTCCCGTCAATCGATTTCAAATCCACCAACTTCAAAATGGATGACCGTTAACGAGTTGTAAGCACCTGACATTGTTCTAGGAGGACTGAAACTGAACTATAGTAGTCTACGTCTTTGTCAGTTAAATCACTCTGGCACGGTTGTCTTTCCTTGTTTGGAAATTGTCGCATACGTTGAATGCTCTGTGTTCCTCGACAGTTTAAATAAAATTCACCGCAAACAAACGACTGGAAATGGGAAAATCAGCAACAGACGCATCCTAAACTCCCTCACAATAATTCAAATAATGTAGAATAAGTTGACGAATCCCTCTTCCAGAGATAGATTCATTTCTCAAGCACTTCCTCGGTTAAGACAAACTTCCCATGCAGTCAATAGAAACAGTTACCAATCTCTTCGCGTGAGTCCACGATATTCAAAAGTGTCAGCGAACCGATTAAGTTTCACGGTCCTCTACTGGTCCCCTTGACATAGCCCTCTAAACTGGATTTATACAGTTTCCCCTTTTCCCTCAGACCTTCCTCTACTCTTACATTCGCCAAAAGCAAATTCTCCCCCAAAATATGGAATACACAAGAAACTCAGGTTATTCATGATGCCTGCCTCTTGAGATATAGGTCAGAAGCAGGTCATGCATGGATTCTTGTGTAGTTTCCATAATACATTTTATTTCGTGTTGAGCGAACGAGGTCAAAAGACAACAGAAGTCTTCGGTTGCTTTCTGCCAGAGTTGAAAACAAACGGCAATTCTACTATTTCAGGGTACCGTGCACAATTCTCCAGCGCTGGGTTGCCGGTCAGGTTGCAGAATAAAGTAGAGTCCAAAAGATTCCAACATGTTGGTGTAGAAGTGAAATGCCTTTTCTGAAAATTCGACCCCGTTTTTTACATCTGATGTTATTAAAGTTTTAAAATATCAAAATGCATTTCCAACACTGAAGAAAAAGTTACAGAACTAACATATTTTTGAGATTCCAATACATTTTTTGCTGACCAAATTCGAATGACATTCTCCAGACATAACGCATGCTTCAGATTATATTAATTTTACAGACCTAATGTGTTTTGAAAACGCATTTGCCTTGCATTTAGCTATTCCGAAAGTGCATTTCATCAACTTTGGACAGCATCCGAATTTATTTTGTTCTGTTCGGCCCGACATAATCCAAGGGTCTGAACCGTTTCTGACCCCAAACTCTAGCCTGGTTCCCGCTACATAAACCGTTGCGTAGTGCCCTTTGCCCCAAACTTGAAGTGAAACAAGCGACGAGAGAGCAGTGTTTTGTCATGTCGGTGTCCCTATTACTCACCACGTAGATATGAACAACAGGCATCGGGTGGCATTCACGATGGGTGCAGTCCACTATTTCTACATTGTTTAGCGTAAAAAAAATAGCTTCAAGATGTTTGGTCTGCAGATTGGTGAGGTTGTGAAAATCTTCGCCAGGATCAATTCCCTGGTTCTTCAGGCCTTCATCTCATCTGTTGTCATATAAAAAAACTGCATACACACTTCCCTAAAAAGGGAATAATTTTCTGTATATAAATTACCTCGTTCATCATTGCTACTTTACCATAATGTGTTTTATTTACAACATTTCTTCCAATAGCTGTGAAATTCAGCTCTCCTCTAACAAGTTGAAGAGCTTGAGCCCTCTAACATTCAGTGGACTTGCAACACCTTCGATAATGTAAGACCTACATAAAGCACTTGGATGTGATTTGTTTGTTTTAAAGCTATACCCCTTTATCCCAGTATTTTATCACTTTAAGGCCGCAAACGTGATGTCTGTGTCATATTTTGTGATGCATGCAAAACATAAAACATTGTCTTTTTCTCCCTTTTTGCAGTGCCGTTAGCAATAATAGTATCGAAAAGATTCCACCACGGTTGATATATCAGAGAAACAAAGAGCTCATCTTGCATATAATGTAAGTTTTAGTTGTGCCCTATAAATGTACTTTTTAGGCTGCAATATCGTTTACCATAACGACGTAATTGTTCGTACAACCCCGCCTTCAACGTGTGCTTTTTTTGTGTGGGTCAGAAATGTTGGCGCCAAACAAAATGGCTAGACGTAGCACTAGTCGTCAATCTAGTCATTATGCTTTCGTCAGATACATTCACACAAACGCGTATGCGCTCATTGCCATAAATGGGCAAATGGATCAGTGCAGTTGTGGCTACATAACTAGCCTCTGGGAACCCTTTGACAGGAGCTTCTGAACGGAACTGGTCTATCATTCAGCAATCATGGTGGAAATGTATTGACGCATTTCGACCCTTCTTCTTTCTGCAGTTCTGTAGGCCCCTTGTTTTCTTAGACTTGAAGCGGAGTATTCACTGTGCCTACTGAATAATATCGCTCTGAAAATGAAAACATTTAAATAGAGCCCTCCTATTTGAACTGTTAGGACTATTTTGTTCGCTAAAAATCTTGTCAAAGTATTTCTGACCACATTTCCCCCAAATTAGCATAAAGCGACAAAATCTCCAGTGATATTTAATTGTTAATTTCACAGGTTATTTTAAACACGTTTGTTTCCGCATGCAGAGATTTCACAATACAATACAACCAGGAAGTGATTTTTGTGATATTATGTGCTGTATTCTTTCGGTATCCATTGACACTTATTTTAATCATGTATGAAGAAATGTGTCTCTTTGTCGTTTATGGGAAACCGTGGTTTGTATGGCCGCCATCGTGCAGGCCAGTGCTTTGGTTCCATAGGGTGTGCACGGAGTTTTCCTTTAGTAAAGAACTACCCTGCCTGAATGCTACCACGCAAAACCTCTCTGCCATTATTATTATTATTTATTTTGTTATTTACAAAACAGGTCAGTATTCCTAGATGGGCCAGGGGTAGCAAAAGCAATAACATTACCGTGATCCGTAGACCTGCTGCCCCACATCTGGCTGTGGACCAGTAAAAACCTTAACATTAACTATTTAAAGTTAATTGTTGACTATTTAAAATATATAGGAGATCAGAATGAGATAGATACTTCCGGGCATGATACAGACATTAAAAACAGGAGATCATACCTACAAATTGCAAGAGAAAGTTTTAAAATCATATTATGAAAAGGGATAAATTAAATATTAAAAAGGGCAGATTAGTGTACAACTACATCTAAAAACACTAATGGGCACACTTTAGAGTACATTAAAAACCAGCAAAAGCTGCCTCGTATTTCAGCGATCGAAAAAAACGAGGGAGGATATAAGGAGTTGATATTTATTAACTTGTGGATTTCTGTTGCCAAATTTGACCAGAGAGTTTTTACACATTCAAGAGATTCGAGAGGAAAATGTGTTTATGAAGAATTCAAAACAGTTACACAGTAAGGATAATGTAGCCCACGGCACTCCAATGCCGGGTAATCCTTGGAAACATACACCACCTCTTGGTTGGTTTACTCGAGCCTCATGAGTTTCGAGTGTTTAGAACTGATGACCACGCCTTGTCTATTCTCATTCATCTGAGCACCCAATCCGACTACCCACCGCTACTTATAAGTGGGGCTTTCACACCAAATACGCCATGTTATAAGCAGGATAGTATCATAGGACCGTAGTATGGACTAGGTCGGCACACTAGTTTAAGCTTGTGCACCACAGCAGCGGCTCTCTGTTGTGTGGCAAGTGGGGGCGCTTTTCATGCTATGCTTACATAGCGCCCTCTAAAACATACGAAAGGAAGGATTTTCTAGGAATGGAGGAGCTACTACCTTCTTTTCACATACAACGAAACGACCATTTAGATTACATTTGTAAAACAGTATAAGAACAGGTTGAGCTCAGTGCCCACTGCATGTTTCCTTTAACAAATAAGCGTATTTTAGTATGGTATCGTGGTTTTTGTGTTTACCCATTTATAAAAGTTGAGGTTAGCTTCCACTCAGTCAGATGTTTATACATTTAGGGTGGAATTTTTTTTTGGGGGGGGGTTGAGTGGTTGGCTGTTTATCATACCTTATGTGAATTGAAAGCAAAGGAAAATATATTACAGGATTTTAAGCATGGGCAGTAATCTCCGGGGGATGCTTCGCATCGTAAAAAAAGATCTGCAAAGGTAACCCCATTCCGGCACGTAGAGGCCATTGAAACCGCTGGACAGACATGTGACTGTGCTACACATGCTACAATGATAGTGCAAACGCTTGTTCGTTACGACGGCAAGCATGCCAACCATCACCTTTGTATTCGGCCTGGTAAAAATGGCCTCCAGTGGCTTCCTTCGGTACAATAAAGGCCTTGCAAATCCAGATTTTTTTTATATAATGACGTCCGTTTGACAGCGAGTTTGTTTTAAGGCTAATATACCTAAACTTTCACCCAAAATGAACGCGTCTCTAGCCGACTAAAGGCATTTTGTTCTGCCGATAATGCACTTTTGTTCTGTTCTGCAAATGTTAATGATGTGTCTGTTTTTTCCAACAGGGACTTTAGCAGTAACCGAATCCAGAGCGTGGCAACTGACGCATTTGAAGGAGTAAAATATATAAGTGAATTGTAAGTGGCTTCACATAAAGCTTACAATTAAGGCTACAGTTAACATGAGTTAAACTTACCTTGAAATGACATACCAATCTTATTATGCAAAAGTAGCATGCTGCTTTTTTAAAGTCATTTGTTTTGCGCTTATTAGAACATCCAAATTATCTAACTAAATGTTTAAAGTTCCCAATAATTGCCAAGTTCATTTCGGTTGCACCTATTTGGTTTAGAGTTTTTACTGTTGTAGACCGTTAGCTATATATTATACCTATCGCGTTCCTCTTAACATTCACATTAGTTGCAACGTTTGTACGCAGCCCGGTTTTGAGGTTGTAGGCCAATCGTATGTCCTGTAACTTTAAAATTGCATTTCATGAGAAAATTGAGTTCAAGCTGTGTGCCTCTGCCAGCATTAGAGAAACGAGAATTGAAATTAACCACGACCTAGTGCCACTGCAGCAGCGTTGTAATAACGCAGCATGTGGGCACATTGTTACTGCATACTGCACTCAAAAGCACTTAGGGTAAGTTGCGCTTGTCACAACACTGAGCCTAAAAAGTACAGGGCAAGCCTAGTGAGAAAGATCTTACGATCAGAAATTCAACTGTTGGGGAAAAAACATCGCGGTGAAAAAAAAAGCCTGTCTGATCACAACAAACCAAACCCGAATACATATAGTGCAAATTGCACTTGGTTCACAGAATATAAGAACATAACATGAAATAGACTGGAGTCAGAATTGGGTTGCATTTCAGTGAGGCAGAGACTGAAGTTCGTGTCACTACATTGTGCTATAGTAGTCTATATTACAAAAGATTTTTGGCACAAAATCTGTTCGCATGCTTGACATTTACCTTTTCAAAATGTAATGCTAAAGACGTCTAACAATTTCCATTTTTAAAAATTATATATCTTACATCGCAGTAATAGTATGCTTTATCATTCAACAAAGATCTGGTATATGACACTGCCAAGTTCATTGGGACTGTGCGATGGTCCAGAGAACCTAGAAGCTTCAGTGAACCTTATCTTTGGCTCGAGTGGATTGCGAGCTTGCTGTATATACTGGCCAGTCACTTATTCAATACATTGGTATATGTAACACGTTCATAACATGCAAATACTTTATTATTTTTTGCAGATATCTTTCCTCGAACAGCATAGCATATCTCCCCGAAACTGTTTTTATCAATACAACGATAGGGAGAACTTTGTAAGTAAAACGTTTTTCTAAATAGTTAATCCGTAGAATGTTCAAGAAATAATTGCGTTGTCAGAATTAAAGTTTGAAATACCTTTGGATGTGAAAGTGGGGTAATTTCTGCTGAATATTCTACAGAGTTAATGTACTGTTCTGAAGTACTGCCCCAGCCCCCGCTCCCTCAAAATCGCAAGAACGTTGCAGCGACGTTATGTTTCTATTGTGGCGACGTTGTGGTGTAATGTTGTGGCCACGTTATCGAGTAGACTCCATTGTATGTTGTGGCATGCCTGTTCCAAAGCTGCAAACACTCTACAAACGTTCGTCAGACGTTTTGAACCATGCACTGTATAACGTAAACTAACGTTCCAACAATCTCACAACAGATTTGAAACTAACCTTCCGAAAACGTTCATCATTTGTTAAAAAAATTCAACGTTCAACATCCATGCAAATAACTGTAAAATAATCACCGTGAATTAAACACCTGTTAACCAAAAGAGGCCAAACAAACTGGAATGGAACGGTTGCGCGATAAGAGTTCATTAATTCAAGATATCATTATTTTTCTCTTTATTTCACACATGGCAATATAAGAAGAACAAACAACTGTGTGTAACACATTAAACAAATATGGTATGTCAAAACGTACTTTGATATAAAATGGCCGGCTAGAACTGTCCTTAACGGAGAAAACGTTTATTATGCCAAGATGAAAAGTTTCCATCAGAGAGTTAACACCGATGCCACGAATTGTTCTCCAACATCAATCGGACAACATTGAATGTAAAGTGTTTTGATCACCGTTGGCGTAAAGGCAGAAGTTGGTAAATTTTTCATCATCCACAGAAATTCAAGCAAACTTAATGATGGCATTCCTGAAACGTTAAAACAAGGAAATAAGTAGATCTATCAAAATAGTTGCATGCCTTTTACAAAAAAAGAACAAAACAAAAAAACAAAAAAAAAAAAAACAAAACAAATGTTCACCCTTTGAACACGAGTTAACCTTTAGGCCTAGTTTGTACATGTGACATTGGCATGGGCTAGTTGTATGACATTTCTTTTTAATGCCATTGTTCAGGTAACTGGTCACTTTTGTTTTCAACAATGTAGCTATGCGTATTGTGCAAATAGTTAATATGTTGTCAGGAAACTCAGAACCACTTTTCCTCCAAAGAGAGACATATTCTAGTTGGCACTCGAAATCTATTATCAACCTTTGTTTGTTATAGGCCTACCTTGCAAAAGTTCAGTCGTACATGATGTATGTGTTGTAACAATTAAAAGCCTCTCCCACATTGTGTTTCGAGTATACTAGAGAATACCTACCACAACAGTCACTGCATACGCAAATTTATCATGCGCCTATTATTATTCACTGAAAATATTCAATCACCCGTGTTGCACCCGACCTCCCACAATGCAATGCGGTCTTGCCGCCACGATCGTCTTTCTTTTCGAAAGCGACCCAACTCGTTGGAGCTAAAGTTGGGAAGACGGACTGGAGAGGACTGTTTTGGTAGGTATTCTGTAGTAGTTTCGACCAATACTTAACGTTAATGTGGGGGAAGATTCTACGTTCTACCTATGCAAACAGTCACTACATACGCAGAGTGCCACCGCCGGGGGGGGGGCGGCTACGATATAAATGCGATAGCCATTAGCACAACAAGTAAATGGTACCATATGTATGCATTGGAGGTAATAAAGGCAAGCAGAAAGAGATACCAATTCAGCATACTTCCCCGGCACCACAGTCTGTCTGCTTTGTTTACAGTATGCAAAGTAATCGTTGATACAAAATGTCTAGTGGATTAAAAAATGGAGTCTGGTTTTTGGTCAGAAAGCCAATGGATGGAATGAGGCACACGCCGTCAGGCTCCCAACGTAGATGTCCCTCAGTGACGGAGAGGGCTTGAAGTTCACCACCCCTTCTAGAGTTGACCTTGGTTAGAGAGAAAGCCAGTTTAACATTGACGCGTATCAGGGATACGCTACCTAGAGGTATGAAGGGGCCATCAGGGAGCATCCGTAGCACTTTGTTTAGGTCCCACGACATGACCAGATGCTTACTGCGCGGGCTTTCAATAAACATATACAACGAAATGTTTAAGGGAAGTGTTGTCGGAAATTGTGGAACCGTCCCTGAAGCTGGAATATATGACAAGAAGAGCCCATAGTTGTGGATCGTGGAGATTTGCATACTGGAATTGAAAACGTACATGAAAAAGTCAGCAATGATACCAAAAGGTGCATGTTCGTTGCTTCACGTAGCGAAATGTCATACTCTGCTGTCGTACATATTTCCGGTGGAAGAGCGTCGTCCCAGTGCGCCCATGACCGCCTTGTCGCTAGAAAGTCCCGTCCAAGCAGAGGGATAGTTGGACAAAGTCCTGCACGTTAAGTAAAGGTCTTCCGGTGTTGGATTGAGAATCCCCAACTTTGGTCGACGGAGGATGCCTGGTCTTGCTGGAAGGACGAACGGCTGGTGAACCAAAAGTCTGGTCAGCCTGGGAAACCAAGGCAGACGCGGCTAGAAAAGAGCAATTAGCACAATCTTTGAGATGACGTTTTATCAGAGAGATGGGGTAAAGGCATTACGCCAGCAGGCCGGTACAATCGGTTGACAGGGCATCAGTGACATGGGTGAGGTGTCCTGGGGCAAAACAGAAAGATTTTTGTCTACGTCTCATAAAGGGTCCATTCCGTCGGACAAACTTTGCCCCGGGAGAGGGCGTCCGTTATCGTGTTGCCGGGCCCAGCGATGTGGATGGCTTTCATGTTGATTGAGTGACTCATTGACCAGCAGAGGATCTCCCAAGTCAGAACGCACAGCCTAGGGGGAGCGTGTACCACCTTGATGAAAGATGTATGCTACCGCCGTGGAGTGGTCCATTTTTCCCCTTGATGTGCGCGAAAGGTATCGCAGAGCGTTGAAAATAGTATGCAGTTCCACGACATTGATGCAATTTTGCTGGAACTGGGTGTTCCAGTTCCCTGACGCTGCCTTGATATGGAGGATGGGAGGGCCCCGTCTGAGAGATGACGCATCAGTCGATATAACTACTTCGGGTTTCGCTCGACGGAAGGGAGCCTGGAAAGGAAGTGGTCCTTTCTTAGCAACTAGAATAGGTATTGATGAACATCCTCGGAATTGTGGACTGGCAGGTTGATCGGTCCGTACGCGTCTTGGGCTGATAGCAAGAAAGTAGATGGATCTGGAGTGGTCTCATGTGGAGTTTGCAGCACGGTACGAGGTCCACAATACTGGCCATTAAGCCGAGAAAATCGAGCCAGGCAAGGGCGGGAGGAGACTACGATGAGCGGAAAAAGGGAAACGCAGTTTGGAAGATTTGCGTTTTGGAGCGATCTGTCGGTGCGATCATGCCCTTGCAGAGATGGAGTATTGCCCCCAGATAGGAAGCTGGGATGTATGTTGCTTAAAAGAACCGTGGCCGGTGTTTTCTCCGGGGGGGGGGCAGCTGATGGCAAGGTGAGCATTTGAATCATGATCCACTGAAGTAGGCGGATGCGACCTTTGAATGAGATGAGGATGCCAATGGAATCAGCCTCGTTCTTATCGGAGGACCATACCGGATGTCCTGCAGTTCCACGGGGAGAGATATGCTCCGGCAAGGGAACGCCTGGATGGTGTGATTAAGGTTGGGAACATTGCATGTCCGGTGTCTTGGAAGCTCGCAGGGGAGGAAGGTTACCAAAGGTGTCAAACTGGATAGTTTAAAGTAATCTGAATCTTCCTCTTTGGCATGCAGCAATACTATGTCGAATTTCGCATTTATATTTAGTGATAAGTGGCTCTGAACACGCAAAAGTTTGTTTCCTCAACGTTAAATAACGTTGCAAATCATGTTGGTCCAGCAGATTTCAGTCACCCCAAAGACCCCTTCCCTGCACATGTTCATTGCCAGCACTGTAAATTATGAAAACAACCAAGGACCGGTGCACGGTCAACTTGCAGTAAAAAAAAAAAAAAAAAAAAAAAAAAAAA